GGGCTGCAGTTCCAGTACGTTCCTTGAATCTGGAGCAGGGACAGGCGAGCCTGTCAGAGGCTGGGAGTTCAGGACTCAAGGCAAATACTGGATATATCTATATCTATATCTATACATATACATATTTATAGAGAGAGAGAGAGGGAGAGGGCGAGAGAGAGAAGATACGCCTACTCACTGGCCCAGAATTACTGCAGCTGTTGCATCTCACTGGGACCACCTTTCCACTGTAAGGTGGTACATCCATCTTTACTCCTTTTGAAGGCAGAGCCTGAAAGAGAGGTCAAGTTCCCGCTGAGCCCTCTCTTCTGTCTGATTGTCTGCCACACCCAAGGTCTCCTTTCTGTTCAGGACAGTTGGACAGAGCCCAGTTGTGCTGGGCCAGAGAAATGAGACCTTGGTGGAAGAAGGGCTTTGTGCCCTAAAGGCTCATTTGGGTTTCCATGGAAACAAGCCAGAGGTGGTACTCACCAGTTGGGGTCTTAAAGCCACAGATATCTATCTAGAGAATCCCATCATTCAGCAAATACATAAATAAAATTACTATTTTTTTTTAATGCCTTCATGTGTGTCTGTGTATTTTCTGTGTGCCTGGTGCCTGAGGAGGCCTGAAGAGGGTAGATTCCTGGGACTGGAGTTACAGAAGGGTGTGAGCTGCCATGTGAGGACTGAGAATTGAACCCAGGTCTTCTGGAAGAGCAACTAATGCTTTTAACCACAGAGAAATCTCTCCAGTCTTCTTAGTAACAGTTTTTAACACAGAATTTACTTCATTGCTCCAAGGACTTTAACCAAAGGTTGCTGATTCCCAGTCACTCTGTAGAATTCTTTCTCCTCTTCTTTCTTCTCTTGAAATAGAATCTTAATGGACAGCAGTGGCCCCCGCCGTGTCTGGTGTTAGTGGACAGCAGCAGCCTCCACCGTGTCTTGTGTTAGTGGACAGCAGTGGTCTCCACCGTGTCTTGTGTGTTAGTGGACAGCAGTGGCCTCCACCGTGTCTGGTGTGTTAGTGGACAGCAGTGGTCTCCGCCGTGTCTTGTGTTAGTGGACAGCAGTGGCCTCCACCGTGTCTGGTGTGTTAGTGGACAGCAGTGGCCTCCACTGTGTCTGGTGTGTTAGTGGACAGCAGTGGCCTCTGCCGTGTCTGGTATGTTAGTGGACAGCAGTGGCCTCCACCATGTCATGTATGTTAGTGGACAGCAGTGGCCTCCACCATGTCTGGTGTGTTAGTGGACAGCAGTGGCCTCCACCGTGTCTGGTGTGCTAGTGGACAGCAGTGGTCTCTACCGTGTCTTGTATCTGAGAATGTAGAGAATGATCCTGCGCACTGGGCCTTCTGTCTCCACATCCTGAGTGCTGGGCTACACTGAGCCACCAGGCTCGGTGCTGGCAATCATACCCAGGGGTCCACTCGTGCTACCCATGTGAGTTAATCTAGCCACAGAATTCCTCTCTCTCCATTCCTCCCCTCCTCAGTTCTTTCTTTCTTCTTCTTTTTTTTTATTTCTTTCAAACTTTGTGGAAAATGATGGCTAATTCATGGCAGTCAGGCTATAAAGATCCTGAACTGATACTTTATGATTTATGACATTTATTAGATTTTGCACAGTTACATTTAATTTATTAAAATTCATTACTAAAAGCTTGGAGGAAAATTCAGTTTCCGACTAGAGAATTGTAATTAAAAGAGCAGAGAGCCAATCGGTAACAGAGGTTCGTAGGTCTGATGGCGACTTCAGCTCTGCAGAGATAACATGCCTCTGACTTCAGACAGCTCCGCAAAGCTACCTAGCTCTCCCTCTCTTTTTTCTTTTCTTTCTTTCTTTCTTTCTTTCTTTCTTTCTTTCTTTCTTTCTTTCTTTCTTTCTTTCTTTCTTTCTTTCTTTCTTTCTTTCCTTCCTTCCTTCCTTCCTTCCTTCCTTCCTTCCTTCCTTCCTTTCTTTTCTTGTTTGTTTTTTGTTTGTTCGAGGCAGGGTTTCTCTGTGTAGTCCTGGCTGTCCTGAAACTCACTTTGTAGGCCAGGCTGGCCTGGAACTCACAGAGATCTGCCTGTCTCTGCCTCCCAAGTGCTGGGATTAAAGGCGTGCGCCACCACTGCCAGGCTCTTTTTTTCTTTCAATAGGGTCTCACATGGCCCAGGCTGACCTTGAACTCCATGTCTACCTGTGGATTACCTTGAATTGGTCTCCTGCCTTCGCCTCCTCCCAAGTACTTGGATTACAGGCATACACCACCATACTTGATTTTATGTGGTGCTAGGGACTGAACCTGGGACTTCATGCATGGTAGGCAAGGACTTTAGTAACTGAACTACAACTCCAGGCTTATCTGTCTTGAGACAAGTTCTCAGTGTATATGTTGGGAATAGGCAAAAAACACCTTGTCCTAAGTGCTGCCATTCTGACTTCAGACTTTTTACCTGTAGGGTAAAGAAACAAAGTTCAGATTCCCAAGCCCTAGGGGAGCTGGGAACCTTCCAATGGCTGACCTACTCCTCCTTAAACCACAGAAATAGTCATTATGCATCTTTGTCTCTAGGAACATCATGGCTAGCAACAGAAGGAACAAATGAATCTGATTGGTTGGACTGAAAGCTTACTTTATATGTCAATTGACAATGATGGACAATTCAAGGAAGCCCCTAATCTCTAAATCCTGATTGGTGAAAATTATAACTGTAACTTGGATGCAAATGTCTGATTTTTGTGCTTAAATCCTTGCTTCAACTGGCGTTCGGGGTCGCAGTTCAGCTCCTGAATCTGTTCTGTGGCCTGGGTAGATCAGCCCCCCCCCCCCTTCTTTTGTGCTTTCCCAGCATTAAATCTTGCCTTGAGGTAACCTCTTGTGTCTGTTTGGGTTGATTTGGAGCCTCAGACCATAACACATAGTCCTGGCTAGCCTGGAACCCCCCATCCTCCTCTTTCAGCCTCCCACAGGCAAGGCTTCCAGGTGTGCAGAGCCATGCCCGACTCTACAAATGTGTCTCAGCTAGTTGGTGAACATAAGGACAGATTGACTGCTCTCTAAGTCTCAGAGGACCAACTCTCTCAGAATCTTATTAAATACCAGCAAGAAGAGAGTCCTCAGGAAAACAGAACTTGCCTGGTAGATGATTATGTCGAAGTGATAGGGGGACATTTTATTTGAAGGAAGCTCATCAGTAGTAACATCAGAAGGGAAGGAAAAAGGAAATTGGAAAAACAAAGATGACTACCTTTACCAAACTTAAGCACTATGCCCGGGAAATTCACAAGCATTGTCTTGTGAGAACAATTTCTGGGACTTTCTTCTTCAGAGAGATCCTGATGCTGTGTGTCTTGTCCCACAAGAGCGGTGACAGCAGCAGTGAGTGCTTCCCATATGATGGGTCCTTGTCTATGTCTTTTACATATAGTTCTTCACTTCATTTACAGCGACTGGAAGACTTCCCAATAGTCCCTACAGCTTAGAGCTTCTCCTGAACCAACCCGAGGACTAAGCCTTAACATGTGGGCCTTTGAGGGGCATTCCAGACCCACATCTGGCTGGGCAGGTGTGTATAGAGCACGGACACGCTGGATAAAGGGATGATTCATATTCAGGCAGAATGGATTGTGATGATGTAAGATTTCATCGTGCTCCTTAGGATGGTAATGATTTAAACATGAATTGTTTATTGCACGTGGACTTGACTTGACTGCAGCTAGCTGAGCAGGAAAAAGTAAAGCTGTGAAAAGGAGGACAACCATCTGTCGACTCGTCCGTCGTTTCTAGACCCCTGCATCTACCGGGTACCTCTAGTACTTCCCTCCTCAATAACTGGCCATCCTTCACCTCCAAATGCTCGCCAGAATCTATGCTGGCCTCTCCTTCTGTTCGTTCTCCACCTGCTCTTTGAGTGACAGTTTCCTAGAGCAGATCCGGTGATGCTGGTGAGATGTAGCCTGAAGCCTTCCACCACCCCACCTTTTTTTTTCCCTCCCCAAATAAAGCCTATACCCCTTCCTTCGATCTTTCCCTACCTGTCCGGCTCCAGCCTACTCTACCTCATCTCATGCTCATGCAGTTTCCTTTGCTCACCAGGCCCCAGTTCCAGGGCTTGCTTTGATTTTCTAGAGTTTTTCAAGCACCTTCCAACCCAAGCACCTCTGTTCTGGCCACTCTTCAGGTGTTGACATTGCCAAAGAGCTGGTTATGAAAAAGCTCTCTGCTGCTGAAGTGAAGGAAACACAGTCTCTGTTAGAAGTGTTGAGACTTCTCTCTGGGAGCTGTTTTTTTTTTTTTAACTTCATCATCATCATCATTATCATCATCATCATGATCATCATCACCGTGGTCATCATCAGTTTGATATTGGAGATTGAGCACAGAACCTCATGAAGACCCAATTATTTTTATACCAAAATATTTAGAGGAGGAAGCAAAAGGTGTCAGAGGACCTCTAATTTGCCACAGGCAGATGGAGTCACCCATCCTGGGTAACTGCTCACCCTCTGCCTCAGAGGTTGCAGAGGCCTGCTGGGGCAACCAAGAGGGAAGACAAGCCCAGGCCTTGTCTGGAGTCTTCAAGCCGGTGCTCCCTTCCGCCTCACAGACTATGGTAAGTGTCCACAGGGACCTCCACCTGAGACTGGACTCTTCTTATCTTGAACGTAGTCACTGTAAGAGGCTGTCTTATTACTATTCAGTGAGCATTCGTTGGGGTCCTCGCTGACGCATGGTGATGTTTTGCTTTCTTGGGAACAAAACTGAGAAGACCACGAAGTTGCAGGCCTGGCAGGGTTGTTTGTGACAAGTGTCTAATTACATTGTCGTGGGCCCTGCCTGCTTCCTACCCTGTAAACAGGCACTGACTCTAACTTAACTTTCGGTGACAACACTGTCTCCCCAATTTTCTAGTGCTGTGTATCCACCGCTTTTAGAACAAGTGTCCAGAAAACTTGGGAGGCTTTCTGTGAGCTTCAGAGCTACCCAGAACGAGATGGTTTGATAGAAGGATGGATGGGTAGGTGGATGACTGCATCAGCGGGTGGGTGCATGGGTGGACCGATGATGGCTGGCTGACTGGGAGCCTAGGAGGTCTCCTGAAGACCGAAGAGGGACCCCTTTCCCCCTTCCCACCACCTGTGTGCTGCTGCTTAGCATGGCCTCTCCCAGAGCACTGAAGGAGGGCTTTGCAGCGGGCCGGTGGGAGAGGCGAGGTTGAGAGGAGCTGGGGAAGGAGAGTGGGGAGGAGGAGGGCCTTGGAGGCGGAGAAGAGGGGCGGCGGGCGCCCGGGGAGCCTGGCGCTGGCAGCAGCTCTGGCGGTTAGGGGACCGATGTCGCTGCCGCTGCCGCTGCGGGCGCCTCCTCGCGGGCCGGAGCTGCGTCGCCCGGGCTGAGCCGCAGCCGCAGCCGCAAGCCGAGCGGCCGCCAGGCGCGCCCGCAGCACGGGAGGATGGGCTGCGGCGGGAGCCGGGCTGATGCCATCGAGCCCCGCTACTACGAGAGCTGGACCCGGGAGACCGAGTCCACCTGGCTCACCTACACCGACTCGGACGCGCTGCCCAGCGTCGCCGCCGCCGACAGCGGCCCCGAGGCGGGCGGCCTGCACGCGGGTGAGTGAGCCCCGCGCCCGGGAGGCCCCGGCTGCCCGCAACGAGCCCGAGCTGCAGGAGAGCCCGGGGCAGCCGGGCGCCCCACGGCGTGCTGGCGGGTGGGGTGACCGAGACAGAGGGACAGAGTAGGACCTGCCGGCTGACCAGCTGGCAGACTCAAGCCCCAGGGAGCCAGGTCAAGGAGAACAGCTTCCCAGAGGACTGAGCTAACCCTCTACATTGCTGCCACCCAGCACTCCTTGGCCTCAGGCAGTCAGTGCATATGCATTGGCCCGGGCGTGGGTGGGTGGGGTGGGTGGGAGGACGGCCCACTTCACCCCCAAGCCTAGCCCTCAGCTCACCCCTCGTTTCCCACCTGAGCTAGTGGGCCTTTACCCAGCTTTGGTCCAGCTTCCCTTCTGGCCACCCGTGTACTCAACTGGGTGATTCTCCATCCACTGGGCCACCTGGCCCTCACACCTTTGGTGTTTGGACAAGACTCTTGAGCAGAATCGTCTGGGTGGAGCCTTCTTGTCTCCTCCCTCATCCCTCCGGTTGGGAATGAGCCCCACTGCAGGGCTTCAAATTCCTCACCTAGATCAGGGCACAGTCCCTGCCTGCCCACCACCAATGCTGCTCTCCAGCCCACTTTTCCAAGCAGTTATGTCATAGTGAAGGATTTCTCTCCTTATCCCAAGATGCTGGCATGCTTTATGTGAAGCCAGACATAAGAGATTTTGACTATAAATGCTCTTACCTAGGTCAATCCTCGCACCGCAGGAGTCTGACAGGGATCTGCAGAGAAGTTCCTGGTCTAGTCACAAGTGTCAGGATTTGAGTTAAAGCAGACGCTCACAAACACAGGCAGCTACTGTTGAGGTAGACTGACCTTTTGACCCTAAATGTGCTGGTGACATCACAAGGAAAAGCAATAAAACCTCTCCACTTGTTACATAGATCAATATTTGGGTTTTAAGTCCTGTTGCCTGATCCCGTTGTGTTGGCATTACTTCAGTCTTGGGAATAGATATCCCCACCCTTGACACCAACACTTGCTCCTTTTATTCATTTATTTTTTTCGGAGCTGAGGACCGAACCCAGGGCCTTGCACTTGCTAGGCAAGCGCGCTACCACTGAGCTAAATCCTCAACCCTCCTTTTATTTTTTTTAAGGACGCAAAATCTGGCTATATTGTCCAGACTGGCCTTGAGCTCCTGAGCTCAAGCACTCTTCCTTCTCCAGCCCCTCACCCCTACCCTACCCCCTTACCCCTTAGTTGGGAGATAGGCATAAGCTCCCCCAGCTTGCCTGGGGAAACTGTGGTAATGCTGGATTTGTCTTAAAATTGTTGGACTCCCAGTGACCATGATGGTTACTGTGTGCTGCTGCTGTATCCAGCAGTTTCCCAAATGGCATGCTGGCTGAGTTCAGTGTCAGGAGGAGGATGACAGGGGCTTCTGAAGGTTTTGTAAATGTTAGCTGTGACAGCATTTCTGAGACAGTGTCATACTTCTCTGGAGAGTCCAAGGCCAGGGAGGCACTGTAAGGAAACACGCTTGGAAAGATTCAGTTGCAAAGAACAAAGCGCAGCTTCAAAGAACAGCTGTTTGGTGGCACTCGGCGTACACGCGTGTGCGTGTGTTTATTGTGTGGGTATCAAAGTTGCTGTGGGCTGGCTGATTAAAAACACATGCACGTTCCTCAAGTCTTTCCCAACACTTACTCATTATTTTCAGTCTATGTATCATGAAATCTAGTTCCTGCCACAGGTGAGGCATGGGACAGGCCCACTCATTGATGAAAACTTTCCTAATAGGGACAGCCTTACAAGGTCCTGAAGACAGTATCATTCAGAGGAAGGCGTCATGTCCAGTCCAGGGACAGTGTCTCAGATGGACAGCAGCATTTTAATTCCCTAGAAATTTCAATCAGTCTTAGCGTGGAGGAATACTTCTGAAGATCAAGAATGAACAGAGTTTGCATGAGCAGTGCTGAACTGTGTAGTGGGTATATGCATTAGTTCTCTACCTGTGCATATGGAATTACAATACACAGAGCAGCTTAAATAGCCCACGTTGCTGACTCAGTTCCCATGGTTGGAATACAGGCCATTGCTTGGCTAGATCTTTGTTTAGGATCCCGAGACTTCAGACATGGTATCATCGGGCTGTACTCCTTTATTATTATTATTTATTAATTAATTTTTCCCATCCTGATCACAGTTTCCCCTCCCTCCACTACTTCTAGTCCCTTCCCCTAACCTCCCCCTTCCATTCCTCCTCCTTTCTCTTCAGAAATGTGCAGGCCCCCCATGTATATCAGCTAGCCGTGGTATATCAATTTGCAGTGAGACTAGACACCTCCTCTTTTATTAAGGCTGGACAAGGCACCCCAGTAGAAGGGAAGGGTCCCAAAGGCAGGTAACAGAGTCAGAGGCAGCCCTTGCCACCACCGTTAGGAGCCCCACAAGAAGTCCAAGCTACACAACAGTAACATATATGCAGAGGGCCTAGATCAGTCCCATACAGACTTCCTAGTTGGCAGTTCGGTCTCTGTGAGGCCCTATGAACCCAGGTTAGTTGATTCCTTGGGTTTTCCTGTGGTGTCCTTGACCCCTTTGGCTCCTATAATCCTTCCTCCTCCTGTCCCACAGGATTTCCAGAGGTCCGTCTAATTGCTTGGCTGTGGGTCTCTGCATGTTTCCATCAGTTGCTGGGTGAAGCCTTTCTGATGATAATTGGGCTAGGCACCAGTCTATGAGTATAGCAGAATATCGTTATGAATCATTTCATTGACTTTTTTTTTTTTTAAACCAGTCATGTTTGGTTCTATCTAGGTCTTTGGGCTATCTAGTCTCTGAGTCCTGGCCCTCCAGGCTAGACCAGGGGTGAGTTCCCGCTCATCATATGGATCTCAAGCTAGATCAGTCATTGTTTAGTCATTCCCATGCCACCTTTGTCCCAGCATCTCTTGTAGGCAGGGCAAATAGTAGGTCAGAGGTTATGTGAACCTAGGTTTTATGGAGTGCACTGGTATTGGGTGGGGACTGAAGAGGGGCTTGTTTGCCGTGGTTTTGCATCCTGGAAACAATCATCTTTAGTCAGCTTGGGTCATCTGAGAAAGTTACAGATTTACTGTGTTTCTTCCACCCTGGGCCAGGACTCTCCACTCTTTTGTTCCTCCCAGCCCCCCGCCCCCATGTGTCCCCTGTGGGAGCTTTTCTAATGAACCCAACCCCATGACCCATAGGTGCCCTATAGGGAACCAGAATGGCAGTCTCTGTCTATAACAATCCTTTTCTGAGGGAGGCAGCCGAATGGAAGAGCTGGGTTCAGGACTGCATGTTGCAAAATAACCAAGATGCCTTTGTTCTAGGAATTAGAGCTGGAGAAGACCCTGGAGGTCATCTGTCCAGGGCACGTGGACTCTCAGATCAATTGTCCCCATCGGGAAACTTCCTCAACCATGTACCTCCAGTTCTCTCAGAACTCAAGACTCCCTTCTTCCTGGGGCCCTGGTCCCTCCTCCTTCGTGTCAAATGGGAACTGCCTTTCTCTTGGTAGCCTTAACTGTAGGACCAACTCCTCTCTGTCTTCCATGCTTAGGGCGTAGGTGACGCAAGGTTGGGTCCTTCCATGGATTCTCCAGAAGACTGAGCATCAACTGATAAAGGGCTTTTCCTAAGGAGCAGGCACCCGGTCTATTGTGCCTTACCTCAGCTAGTCCTACATTTTCTGTTTACTCTCTTCCTTGTAGTCTTTGCAACTGGACATCCCCCAACCTGAGTCAGGTGTCTTTCTGATCCCACAGCTTCTGTTAAAAAAAGCTCTCCCCTAACCTTAACCCACTCCATGGAAACTTCTGGACCAGCCTAAAGATTCCATAGGCTCCCCACATCACAATTCCACAAGCGTGTGTGCTGAGACGCTCCATTTCAGCACAGCAGCCTCAGATGCTCAGCTTTCACCTGTCTCCTAGACTGAGGGCGTGTCACATGACAAGCGTTCCCTCAGCATTTGTGTAAGAGATCCGCACTTCACTGTGGGTGGTGGGAGGCGTATTTTTATGCCAGTTCCACAACTGAGTTTCTTGCCCATCCCCCATTCCTCTCACTGACAACCGACCCTGGGGCTCTGCTTCCTGTTTTGGGAGGTTTCCAGCAGCCAGCGGAATGCAAGTGAGTTTTTAGATCCCACTCTCGGTAGGTTGGGATTGAAGATCTAGCTGAACTAGAGCAGCTGCTATCCCTTCACCTGCCCGGATTTCCAACACTATTGCAGAAGGAAACAGAATAGGTCTGGTGTGGATTGATTCTTATAAAACCGGTTTGCTGGACTGTTTTGTTTTACTTCCATTGTGGGAGGGGGGCTCTCCGAGGAGAGCGAGTCTCCTGAGGTTGTCACGACCCGTCCAGTGCCGCTGTTCCACACACCGATACCCTCTCAGTCCCGTTTCCACTTCATTGCCAGTCTCTCCTTAAAATTTCAAATGTCTCCCACAAAATTTTCTAATCTATTTAGAGAGTAAAATGCTCCAAATTTATCTCAAGTAGTTCTTTATAATTTCAAATAATTGTGCTAGTATATCACACTTTGGAGAGTTTGGGCAAATGGTTTACCTTAATAAGCTAGAAGCCAGATAAGACACTTAGTATTATTATTAGCTACCATTTACTGATGGCTTCTGAAGGCACTGTTCTTGACATTTAATGTAAATCACCCCACTTAATGTGTACAACAAGGATGAGACAGGAACCATTGCCTCCTGCGTTTACAAGCCAGGGAAAGAGGCTGAGAGTGTTCTCTATCCCAGAACTGGGATCCAGCTTTCTCTGGTGGCAAGCACTCTTCAATAACCCCAGTGAATGGGGGTTGGTTTTAGAGTCCTTGATTTTGCAGTTAATGGGATGCAGAGTCTAGCCTAATCTCTTGATGATCCAGGCTGATGTCCGACAGTGCGTTCCTCTGTCTTATCCCCCTTAGTGTAGGAAGCTTCCTCCTCTGCAGAGCACCTTCCTCTGA